AAACAAAACATTTAATTGTTGGATTGTATGAAAAGCTTCCATTTTTCCATGTACAATCCAAATACGATGAGCGATTTTCCGTTCTAAATATGGAAAAGCCGATTGTATAGATCGTTGTATTAAAAAACAGAGATCGTTTTTTCATAATAGAGTCTTTTGTTGTCGCCATATCATTCGCAACAGGAGACGACAAACGTTTTCTACCATCAAACTATGCTCATAAAATATGAAACTAATAACTATAGAATAAATTTCAAATTTCAATAAATACATAAATGTTATATTGTCCAGTAAATTTCAATGTCTACTATATACATCTATTTCTGTATATATCATACATCTTGGTGGAGATTTTGAACTTTGAGTGAAATATAATACTACTACTACTACTAATAATAATAATATATACTACCACTCGGTCAAGCAGTATTCTCCACATACTAATGATATGTCTCCATATGTCTTGGGAGAGTAGGGTCTTGAGTATTAGCCTAGTGGAGCTTTCAAAGCGACTAGAGTACCACTACGTCAAGACTCTATAGAATCTCCTCTCCAAAGACAAAAAATTCCGTTCGGAGTTCAAAATCACCACATGCTAATGGCGGTGAGAAGTACTCTATATACATCACTGAAAATACATTTTCACTATTGTTTCTCCAATTGGTGTGAAATCTGTGGATACAATAATTCTTGGAATACAATGTGCGACTCCTTATCGCTGAATGGTCAGTGACTGTCAGTCTATCGACTACCTCATATTGAATGTTTTCAGCTCTCCATCTTTGCATGATTGTTCCATTCTTCGCGCACTCGTACTTGCTTGCAATCCGGTCGTAAATTCTGCTGTTCTCTTCATCACCTGTACCCTCCTCTAGATCGGATCTCCACGTACTGAATGGATTCACACTGTAAGCTTTCCCAGTCCCGGTTCTGGGTGTCCTAGAACCGGGACTGGGAAAGCCCTATTGACGACCGGGACTGGGAAAGCCCTATTGACGACCGGGACTGGGAAAGCCCTATTGACGACCGGGACTGGGAA